ATGTGGCCCGGCAGGCCGGGCAGCGGCGGCGCCGGCAGGGCCACCGGGTATATGGTCAGCTCGCGCGGGGCGCGGGCCATGACGGCGTCGAGCCGGGGCAGTATGCGGGCGGCGTCGTCGATGGCGTAGATGATGAGGCCGCTGACGACGCCGGGCCCGACCCTGCGCGCCTGGTAGGTGAAGGACGTGGCGACGGCGAGGTTGTGCCCGGCGCCGCGGAGGCCCCAGAACAGCTCGGGGTTCCGGTCCCTCGACGCGACCAGCCGCTCGCCCCGGACCGTCACCACGTCCACCGAGAGCAGGCTGTCGACCGTCATGCCGAACCGCCGCGTCAGGTAGCCCATGCCGCCGCCGAGCGTGAGCCCCGCGGCCCCCGTGTCCGACACGGTGCCCGCCGGCACGACGTACCCGTGCTCCTGGGTGGCGGCGTCCATTTCCCCCAGGAGCACGCCGGCGTCGACGGTGGTGACGCCCGTCTCCGGGTCGACGGCGATGTTCTTCATGGGCGTCGTGTCAATGACAAAGGCGTCTTGGGGCATGGCGTGCCCGTCAATGGCGTGCCCGCCGCTACGGATGGCAATCGGCTCGTCGTGCGCGTCGCAGTACTTGACGGCCGCTACGATGTCGTCGGCGTCGAGGCACTGCGCTATCAGGCCCGGCTCGCTGCCGTACCGGGCGTTGGGGATCTTCCGCGCCTCCGTGTACCCCGGGTCCCCGCGGCGGAGGGTCCTGCCTTTGAATCCCTCGGGCGGGAAATCCGGAAACCTCTTGCCGCCCATTTTCTCCGGGGTCGATTCGCCCGAGCCAAGGGGGGAGGACGGCCTTCTTACGCGGTAGTAGTGTAGAGTTTGGGGTTTTGGAAGGATCCGAGCGAGCATGTACGCCTGACAAATGTCCGCAGGATAAATGACACAAAGCACCCACGAGCTTGGTGATTCTGAGCTACAGCTTCCCCCCGAGCTTAGGGGGTACGGGGCTTCTTTTAATCCAGCGAGCAAGCGCACAACCCTTCCTTGGGAGGGGGGGGGGAGGCAAACAAGAGGACGCGATGGCCTCGCATGCCCGAAAGAATAGCAAATCAACGAGCGGAGGAAATGGCGCAAGCTTGTACATTGATTCTGGCCCTATTCTTCCTCGAATGAAGCCATTCAAGCCTCAATGGCTGGGCGGTGGTGTGGTGGCCCAGCACGCACCAGTCACCCTCGGGGACGTGCCGCCAGTTAGCCCGGCGCAGTCGTAGAGAACAATAGCAAAGCCGCCCGGCACCTCGGCGCCGTGTGCAGACACGCCCGCGCGGGACAATAAAACAGCCATGCCTATTCATCCCGCGGCCCTGACGTATTGCCGTCTAAAAACGGCAAGAACTCCCACGACGCGCAGACACGCCGGGCCGACGAATCCGGGCTCGTCCCAAGACATGACGTAGGTCCGTTTTAAACGCAGCGCAGGACGGGCACGGCTAGGGCGGCGATGAGGCCGCGCCGTGTTGGACCGACCGTGTGTGACACGGCATTGTGCCTGCAGGGCAGAGGACCCGGCACTGCGGGGGGTGCTTCTCGACGGCCGGACAGCCCTGGCAGACACTCACTCACTCACTCACTCACCTGGGAAGCTGGCAGGGAGGAACGTGGAAGTGATGGCTTTTGATTGTCGCAGCGGCATTCCGTATTCGGGAGATGGCCGCTCGGATGGGCGAGTAGACCGTTGCGCCGGCTGGTTCTTTTTTTTTTTTCAAGCCGGGAGAAGAATTTGCAAAATTTATTATCTGATCATCTTATCAATCTGGTCCCCGCTTTTAGCCACGTTGGGCAACGCAACGGTCGGCATGGGCACTCGACACGTGCGGCTGAGGTTTCTCCATGGTGACACGGCACGGGGAAGATAGGGGTCTGATGGAAGGGGTACAAGGGCGCACCTTGCCGAGACTGATGCCCGGACTGGCCGCTGTCGGCATTTACGACGGGCCCGGCGATTGCTCTACTCATGTACATAGACGACGAATACGTAAAGTCGGGACCATGGGTTCAGCATGCCACGAGGGCATGGTACCGACGACTCGGTCCTCGGCTTCCCCCCTTTTGGTTGAAGATTTTTTCTGCCCCCAAGGGGTGGCCAGCCAGACCCAGATGGCTTGATATTGGTCCCCAGATCCCTGGGCGGATGCAAATCGCGGCTGGACTTGTCACTTGTGCGAGGATGGAACAGTGAGGGGGTGAAAGCAAGGCACGACGTGGTATTTGAAATGGCTCCGTCAAACGAGGCATTATGCTTTGTAGAAAAGGCATCGGTCGTGCTTCTCTGGTTCGTTGAAGAGTTGCATATGGTGTCTGACTGAGTCACATCCCTCACCCAGCTTCACCTCTGTTGTCTTCCAATACCGTTACATTTTTGGCGCTTGTCTCCCGATTTCGTCTTGGCAAGATCTGGACATCGTCCTTGGCATCTACGCTGCCAAGAGTATATTATCCCCGGTCCGTATCGGCAGGCATCGTACCCGCCGCAAGTGCCGGCGTAGCATTCGCTGTGCCCTCTCAGACATTCTGGTCTCTTTGCCACCTTTTTCATCATGCATCAGTTCCGCTGGCTGGTTGCACTGGCGGCTCTCACATCGGGGGCGTCCTGTTTCGGCGTCACCAACACCCATGACGGCGCCAAAGGCTTCATTGGCTACGGGATAACTCTATACGAGCCCCTTTGCGCATGGCCCTGTTTATCCGCCATCACCGCCCCAATCAACTGTACCGACGGGGACCTTGCCAACACCGCGCGGAAGAGGTCCGAGAGATCTGTGCCGGACGCCGTGCCGCAGAGGAGAGAGGCGGCGGACGCGGGTGAACCCGTGTACCCTTCGGGAACAGGTTGGCAAGTAACCGCAGAGCCGACCCGGCAGTGTCAATCACGAAACGAGTACTTCATGAAGACGGCAGCATTCTGTCTCCAGACCAGGTGCCGCAGCCTGCCTCTCCAGGATCTAGAAACCTTCTATGAGAAGCAGTTCCCCGGTGTGAACAAGTCGGCGCTCGCACCGGAATACCACAGCTACACGACTCTCGTCGCGGCTATTACCAGCGTCCCTACACAGCCGCTGAAGGCCTCCGTCATACTCAACTACACGGCGTACATCCCCGATGAGACATATAATATCTACTACAGCACCATGTACACCTACGCCAAGACGGAGAAGAGAGGCTCCTGGTACGCCATGGTGATCTTTGTATCGGGAGCAATCATCCCCATCGGCGTCTCGATGCTGCGCTTCCTCCCCTGGCCGCAACGCTGGCTCACCAAGTTCCACGCCTTCATCATTGACCCGCCGCTGCTCGGCACAAAGCACGAAACGACCGTATGGGGGCTGGGCACCGTCCCAACACGCGGACAGGCCATCTTGCTGTTGTACATGTGGGTGATCAACGTCGTGGCCACCGTCCAAGGCATCGACTACGCCTTCCCTTCGTCACGATACTCGACGCCCGCTGAGGCCTACAAGACATATGTCGCCAACCGGTCCGGCGTGATGAGCTGTGCGCTGTTCCCGCTGGTCATGCTGTATGCCGGGCGCAACAATCTCCTCCTCTGGCTGACAAACTGGTCGCACGCCACGTTTCTCCTGATCCATCGATGGACCGCGGTGCTGTGCATGCTGCATGCCGTGGTTCACGGCGCGCTGTACCTCAACAGCGCCCTTTTGAACTACCACGGGTGGTCGTATGTGGAACAAAGTACCCAGAGGTACTGGCAGCTCGGCGCGGCTGCGCTGCTGGCACTGGTTATTCTATGCGTGATATCAGTCCAGATTGTGCGTCGCAAGGCGTACGAGTTGTTCCTGGTGCTGCATATCCTGCTGGCTGTGGTTGCGCTCGCGGGGGCCTTCTTCCACATCAATCTCAAGTACACCTCCGACTATGGCTACGAAAACTGGCTGATCATGGCCCTGGCGGTGTGGGCGTTCGACAGAGCGATGAGGCTCGCGAGGTCGCTCCGGCATGGAGTCAAGAGGGCGTACTTGTCGCCCATTGACGACGAGTATTACCGGTTGGACATTCCGAATCTGTCGGCGTCGGGGCACGTGTATTTGCATTTCCCAACAGTGAGTAGTTGGCGAGTCTGGGAGAATCACCCCTTCTCCGTGGCCACAGTGTCGTATCGCAAGTCGAAACTGGAGAGTACGGTGCAGATGGTTGAGACCAAGGAAAAGGCAAAGAACGAGTCAACCATTCATACAAGCCGAGGTAGCAGCTCTGCCGCGTCTATATCGGAGCAGACGCAGGCAGAGCAGCTCGGGAGTTCGGGCGTTGTGCTTTTTGTCCGCAAACACGCCGGCATGACGGCTCTTCTAGCCAAGAGACGCGCGCGGGAAAAGGGCGTCCCTGTTCTGGTTGAAGGTTCGTACGATATTGGCTCTACGTTCCTACAGGACCAGCACCCGAAGCCTACTCATGACTATCCAAATCTCATTTGCATCGCGGGCGGTGTGGGCATTACCGGCGTTCTCTCCGCGCTGGATCACTTTAACAACACGGCGAAACCATGCGGTACTCGCAAGTTGCTTTGGGGTGTGCGGACGATGCCTCTAGTACATGCGGTCGAGAGCATGTTGGGCTACGACTGTGGTCGTGGTCTGGAGAGGAGGTGGGGAAATCTAGAGGTGACTCTTTCGGTAGGGCAGCGCTTCAATCTTCGACATGTCTTGGAGAAAGAGCTGCGTGTTCAGAGAGGTGGTACAACGGTGGTTGTGTGTGGGCCAACGAGTATGGCGGACGATGTGCGGTATATCGTGTCGGCACTGGCGAGACATTCCGGGGACAATGGACCTATTCTGGTCAAGTTGGCTATTGAGAGTTTTAGTTGGTGATTGGAAGGTGAAGGACTGAGGACTTTTGTCCATCTCATGATGATATTGCTTATAAATCAAATTGAAGTCGCCGAGGTTGCCCAGCGAGATCTTGCCATTGAGATGCAGTTCAAGCTGTAGTTTTTCATGGCCTAGGCTGGCGGATTGTCTGATTGGTTACCAAGCAATATCATACAGCATCAGTTACTCAATCGAGCACGGATACAGACAAAAAAGGGGAATTCGTCCTCCTTGGCCGGATACTCGTCAAGTAAAGGAATTGCTACTCAAGCTCACTTGGGTATCCACGCCATTGGATGCTCGTCTCCGTACTGCGGCGCAAGTGATTGAATGATGAAGTTTGCTGGGATGGTCTCATTCCGTCGGCTGTGCACATGTCGCCGGGGTTTTCTCTTTTCAGGCCTGGTCCTAGCAAAGGCCGCCATTGCGATGACTCGTAGATGTGTGATGGCCATCAGTCGGCTAAACGAGCACAAGCACCATCCCGACTATGAGATTTGGTGTCGTCGCCAGAGTTGTGGGGAGAGTCTGCTATTCCAAGGGTTACTATCGAAAGGATTGCAAGTTAATCAGGGAGTTTGGGCCTACCATCTATTCACGATTCTCGCTTCCTCAAGCATCACATATTTATCAACTCAACCGTCAAAGTTAGCAGCATGACAGCGAAGGTGATGACCGTGAATGATGGCTCCCAAATGCCTGCTGTAGGTACCTACCAACGGCCAAAAAGCTCTCACTAACACGAAACAGATGGCATATGGCGTCGGAACCGCGCATCTCTCCAAGTTCAGACAGATCTTTGGTCTCCCCGACTTCGACAGCGTGCAACTTATCGTAGAGGCTCTCAACATGGGATATCGCCACATTGACACTGCCCAACGTGAGCATCAGACCGGCATGCATCAACTTCCAGAAGCGCAGCTGACCGCAATACAGTTTGCATCGGCTCAAGGGATATTTGGATGACTTGGACAAGTTCTGGCTGACGGAGGAGGACATTGAGGACATTAGGCAGCTGGGGTTGCAGCAGAAGGTTTCGAATTTTCTGCAAATGGGCGTTGGGCGGGAATATGAGACAGGACTGGTAGAGCCCTCGCCTTCTTGGGGCTTCAACACACCCAAGAATATGATGACGACGGTCAAAAATGTGGCAATAGTCTTGTCAACTTGAGGGCCGACAAAGCATTGTCAATTTGTAGAAACACAATTGAAGATTACTTGATTGACGCTTTGATGTCCATAGACTCCATACCTTGTTCCACTGGAGCCCACCAAATGTCAAGCGCACGGGAAGCTCCTGCCACATCTGCAGCTCCACTAAAGCCCTTTGAAAGCAGTCATCAGTGAGCTCTCACTTCACCAGACATTTCATTTTCACTCGATCCAATTATCCAACACGTCAACCTCGCCGCGTCGCCACCAAGCTCACCCTCAACCACAATGCGCCATGAGAACCCGCAAATCAAACCGCACAAAGAGCTACGCCGTCGCAAAATACGACTTTGAAAGCTCGTCCTCCGAAACCGAGCAAAATGGCGCCCCCAAAGCCTCACCCAAGCCCACCCGCCGCCGCCGCGACCCGGACGACGTCGACGAAAACTTTGACACATCAGCGTTGAACGAGTCGCCCGCCGCCGACGACGACGATGATCTACCCTCGGAGGAAGAAGAAGGAGAAGAAGAAGAGGAAGTCGCCGAAAGTGAAGCCGCCGAATCAGAAATCCAAGCTCCCGCCGCTGCCGCGCCAACCCGCAAGCGCGTGAAAAAGGTCAAGAAGACCGTCTCTGGCGGAGGATATCTAGACCTCGAGTCCGTGACCACAGATACCCATCTCAAGGGGTACACGGGCCCTTATGACAGGAGTATGCGCGGGCAAACGCTGGTGAGTACATGGTATGGGCCGCGGACAGCGAGCATTCGCCTTGCGCAACGACTCCTGGACCGCTGGGTTGCGTGGACGGTGCTACCGCCACGGCATGTCGTAGCCGAGCATGGCATTTCGAATGTGGCCCCGTGGGCGGCTGAGGGGTACAAGGAGAAGGAGGCGTATTACGCGGAGAGGTGGAGCGTGCGACTTGCGAATGATGGCGGTGTACAGGGGACTCAGTATCGGGAGTTGGGTGGTGATGAGGCGGAACTGTATGCGATGCCGAGGAGGGAATTGAGGTTGATCATGGGGCCGTATAAGGCGCAGAGGGAGATTGGTATCGAGCCCGGTGATTCGTATGCGCTGTCGCAGGGCTGGATCCCGTACGATGTCGATGATACAAAGGACAAGATACCCACGGGGTGGATGTTGGACGTTGGCGGTATCGTGACGGGCATGGATTGGGCGCCGCGCCGGGAGGGCGAGCAGCTGCTTGCTCTGGCGGTTATACCGCATTCTGACCAGGAGGAATACGATTACGAGGCGGAGCACCAGAGGCCTGATTTTCAGAAGTACGGCACCGTGCAGCTGTGGGGGTTTAAAGGCGACGACACGGATGGTGTGCGGAGGCCGTCGGCGCAGAAGCCGTCTCTGCGAAGGACGATTTGTCTTGATTATGGGCGCGCGAGAAGAGTGCGATGGAGTCCTGCGTGCGACCATCTTGCTATCCTGTGTGGCGATGGAAGTGTACATGTTATTGAGGTGGATAATAAAATCGGCTCGTTTAGTGCGTCCATCTGTGAAGCTCTATTATTTCTATGCTAATGATGGCTATAGACAAGGTCGAACACCCTCTTGCGTCATTCACACTTTACGGCGAATACTCGATCAAAGCTACATCCTTTGCATGGGCAACCTTCAACAGAGTCGTCATCGGGTACTCGGACGGATCCATCGCCCTATGGTCCCTGTACCCAAACTGCCTGCTCTCACGGCACGCCGTGCACCACAGTCTCGTCGTCGACCTTGCAACAGGGTCCCCTTCTCATCCATTTCTCGTAGCATCTACACCCGTAGGCGGCGCGACAAAACTCATTGATCTGAGCTGTCCGACATACGAGTCAACAGAGGTGCAGACCAACGCGGTAAGTTGGCAGCCCAACATGCTTGCCTACAGCGACCACATCCAGGGTTTCTTCTCGGTATACCCTTCAGCCAATGCGCTCAACACAATGATCGGATTCATGCACCAGCGGTACTTTCCCATTGTGCGGAGAGTGTACATCGGCGAAAGCTACAACTCCTGTCTTGCCTCTGGCAAAACGCATCCGTTTCTGCTGATTGGCACGAGTGACGGGTCACTGTGGTGCATAAACCCACAAGTTGAGTTGTTCACTAGTCGACGAGAACTCACGGATCGGCTTCGCCTGTTCCAGCATGAACACCGGCCCAAAGAACTATTCCCTGCCGACTCGGCGGCTCCCGCAAGGGGCGCATGTCGCATCAATCATGGGTTCGCAGTCGAAAAGGGGAGAAGTCCAAAGGGGGAGGTGAAGGCGCAGCCAGGTAAAAAGTTCAAAAGACCGAAAAAGGCCGACCTCGATGCGGGCGAGGGGAACGAGGATGATGAGGCGGGCGGGCTGATGGATCCAACGAGAGGCATTGTGTATGAGCCCTTGTCGAGGGTTACCGTCGTAGAATGGAATCCGAACGAGGGCTTTGGTTGCTGGGCAGCTGCGGCCATGGCGTCAGGGTTGGTGAGGATCATGGACCTAGGGTTGGATAATGCCCGTTGACGCGGTGTTTGTTTTCGACACGGGTATCTATCACCAAACACAAGTCGGCCCATTACCATGGTGGGCATCAAACGCCTTAGCCATGCCGTAAAAGTGCGTTGCAGCAGCCAAGAGCACGAAGACGTGGAATATCTGATGCGAGCTGCCCCAGATATCAAATGATCCTGGAAAACTCCTCTCCGGCCAACGGGCCTTTTTACCACATGGGTCAGATTTACGCACATCATGATTGCAGTGAGGAGAGACTTACCGCGTACAAGACGGCGCCGAAGATATACATGGCGCCCTGAGCAATAACCCAGCTAATGCTCATGCGCTCCTCCAATCCCGCGTACCCGTATACCGACATGCCGTGAACAACAGGAACGACACCCGAAAGCCCGAGCCCGATGAACATGGATGCTCTGTATATTCGCCATTTGGGTGTGCGAAAGCGCTCTACCCAGGATACTACTGCGCACCCGATGCCCAATGTGCAAATCTTGCCGCGAGTTAGTTTGCGTGTGCTAGACATGACAACACCGAAAGAAGAAAATAAAATAAAATAACTCACGAGATATAAATACCCCGACATCAAAGCAGGACTACAAAAAAAGCCATAATACAGGGCCGGCACATAGCTCCCCACAATCAAGGCCACGATGCCCGTGTAATCGAGCTTATTCCCCCATTTGGCCACGGCCTCGCTGTGGTCCACGAGGGCGTGGAAGGTCGCGCTCATGCCCAGGCACAGAATGGCTCCGCCAAAGAAACACGAGAAGACGAGCACATCCGACGAGGTGGCAGCTTCGTAGCGCGGGTGAACGACGTAGTATACGTAGAATGAGGAGATGATGGCCGCCAAGGCCCCGAGCAGATGAGTCCAGATGTTGACGGATTCATTATGTAGGTAGAACAGGGACTGGAAGGAATGGGCGTACGAGGCACGGATTTGGCGATAGCCCGAGTGAATGAAGGCGTTGTCACGGCGCCAGGGGGGGAGGTCGTCCCAGAGGAGGAGCAGTTTGGACTCGGCCTTTTTCTCGAGCGTCTGCAGGGTGGTGAGGATGGACTCTGTTGTTGAGGGCCGCCGGCGGCGGAGGTTGGACATGGTGGCGGCTTTCGCGAGGGTCGGGTTTGTGTCATTGCAGGACGTATGCTGAGGTCTGCGATGGTATTTATAAAAAGGATGTGACATGGGTGATGGATACGGCTTGGTTCATGGCCAAGGAAGCCGCGGTGGTTATCCCGAAATTGTTGGGACTAGCACGTGTAAAATGCCATCATGTTGAATCTCGCAGTTGAGGGCCGTGACTTGCCTCAGGCGCACCCGTGTCTCCACTGCTGTGTCAGTGGTTCCGTTTATCAATCTACTGACCGGACAATTGATGACATTTGATGGAGGAAGGAGGCCACTAAAGGCCGCCAGATGGCACTGGGGACAGACATCAATTGATGGAGCGGTGGTAGTTGAGCACTGTGCGCCCGGTAAGATCATGTCCTGCGGCAAGCCTGCCCTGGGCCGCCATGTCTGCCGGCTGCACATCTAGCGCTGCACGGTTGACAGGTTGGATGCTATGCAGCCAGAAGACCTTTGAGAGAAATATATAAAAATACTCCGTATACAAGGGAATATCATCACTTGGGGCACAGGCTAGAAATTAATACAAGTCCTGAGCCCCAACGCAATGATAGCAGAACCCCTCGTCACGGGTGTGATGCAATTCTAAGCTAGGCCCAAAACAGAATCCCCCCACCTGCCCTTCGTAGAATCCCTCCGTTCAACTCTTCCCGCCTCTCGAACCCCACCAAAAAGCCGCGATATTTTCCCTCCATTTCATTCTCCCGCGCAACCAACAGAACCAACCAGCAGCCGGACCGGGAACGCCAGCGTCGCCGTGCAAGAATCGCATCTCCCTTCTTTCTCGAATATCCGGAACATTCATCAGCCATGGGTGGCCAGGGCAGAGAAGGTGCGTAACAGCAACCCGCTCCAGTGTGGCCGCCGTACCCATCGCCGCCTCCAACAGGGGATCTAACACGGTTCGGATAGGTGGCAAGAAGAAGCCGGACAAGGCCCCTAAGAAGGCCCAAAAGGACCTAGACGAAGACGATATGGCTTTCCTTGAGAAAAAGAAGCAGCGTTCGTGACATCCGCATGATACTCTGCCACGGCGGGTCGATGCAGCAACATGTGCTAACCTGTGGAATAGAGCAGAAAGAGTTGGAGGCGATGAAGTCAAAGGCTGGTGGAAAGGGGCCTCTCAATACCGGAACCCAGGGCATCAAGAAGAGCGGCAAGAAATAAGCCACGGGCTCGGCTTCGAGACCGGCATGTTTTTCTGATGCGTCGAAGCGATTACGGAAATGGGTCGAAATACTTTTTTGATAGGCGCGTGGGATTTTCTCTCTCTCTTTTTTTTGCCCTCTAGTCAAATAGCCAACTCTGGTTGCGACATCATATGAAATGAGGCGTGATGTCAAAATCTCGCTTCCACAAGTCCGTTTGCTTGTCCGCCCGATGGGTTAGATACCGCACCATGTCCAGCCAATTTCCTGCGGCCATGGCTTGACTGCTCCTCCGGGTTACATTGTCATGCTGCGTAGTCTTGCCAGTGTCGGCTTTCCCAAAACCTGCTGTGGGCGTGACGGACTGTGACACGAGGGATGCGTGTTCTTTGGTCTCTGTTCAACAATGTGTCGCGTATAACTGTTTCCGTTGGCTTCCCACTGCTTCCGGTCTCCGAGATTATGGCTTGCATTCTGTGATCGGAAAGTATTGATATGCAAACAAGTGCCGTGGACTACTCTAAGCATGTCTGGCCTCGGGCGAAAGCTCTGCTTTGCACGCAGCTTTGCAGGTAGTGCTTTGGATGATCTATTCTCTCGGTTACTCTGTAATGACGGGTTGGGCGAGAATGATTTGAATACTCTCGGTGCAAGACTGGTTGGAAAGTAATGATTGGAAACAACTCTACATCGTTAGCGTCTTCGATAGCAAGTATCCAGGGCGAGTTCTTCTTTCTAGGTAAAACTTGACTACCTCAAGGGGATCTGCGGTCATATCGTTCACATCGCTGATATTGCACTCCTTGACAATGATACGACCCAGATTACCGGCGCGCAGACGTACACACAGTCACAATATTATATATCCATGTCGCCGTGATACTACTACTGGGTCTCCATACAACCTTCAATGTTCCGGTTCGAAGACGAGTGAGTTGCTGCTGCAGTCCAAGAAGGGTGACAGGCAGCAGCCGCCTTGGAATCGCCAAGTATTGCATTGAATCACTTGGGGACTTGGCGAAGCGTGTCAAGCCGGCTGATTCAAGTGCTCTCGCTTTTGCAATGTTGGTAAACGTAGAATGGCAATCACGTATGCCTTGGTCGTGTTTGCTCGTAGTTGCACACTGAGTAGGTAAGAAGGCATGTTGACTGAGTAAAGATGTTTCCCATCTATTTACCATGGTTGTGCTATGAATACTTGAATAGCGAAGTCTCATGGCAGTCGCACAATAGCATTTACTAGGTCCGATGCTAACGTGAGCCCTTGCAAGCACAACTAACTGCTGCTGCCAGCGATAAAATCGTGCGTTTTTGGAGCATTGGAAAGGTCCATGGAAGCATCCTCTTTCTCGCAAGTCCTTTTCGCGCATTGCTACGCCCTTGCCGCAGCTTTGCTTGACAATTGTCGGGTCAAAATTCTTAGTTGACAACAGGGTAAATGACTGGGCGACAGCAATTGGTGGCGATCTGTAGTGCCAGGCACTGGAGATTGTTACGTAATCAATCACGCCGGAGGTCGAGTCAAAATTCTCCACACTCCAGCAGCAACTACGTCAAGTCTGAGTCTTCGGCCGTGATTGCAATCAGTCTGCACAGCCTCGGCTTGCCAATACCTCTCCGTTTTCTCCCTTTGTTATCTCTCCATCAGCATCATCTCTTTGCAGGTTTGAGAATAACTCTCTGGCCTCTGGGACTCTTCTCTTTTTTCCTTTAGCTCCCCGCTCTCGTCGTGCAAGAACAGTATCCAAATGACCTGAGCCTGGCACGAGTCAACGCTGATCTGGTTGGACTCTTTCTCCTGTTTACGCGTTGGCCATTCCTGATCGCATTTGCTGACACTGTTCATTTTGCTTTTCATCAAGGTCCTTACCAGGATCCAGTACGCATACAATGGCATCCAGCTCTGATGAGGGCGAAATCATTGAGGAGGGATATGGGGATTTGAAGGCAACTTCACTTGCACGCCATTCAGGAAACGGTATTGACCGCCAAGACAGACCCCGAAGTAGACAATCGTCTCCAGATCACGAAGGTGCTTCCAAAAACAGCGGCTCCACCCGCCGAAGCCGCTCGCCTCGCGGATACAAACGCATTCGCGACGATGGAGACCAGTACACCCGAGGACGTGACCGAGAATCCAGGCATGTCCGCGCTCGCTTCGATGATTCCATTAGAGGTGATTATCGCAGATCACGCATCTCTTACGACGATCTAGATCGACCGAGCGCAACATCAGGCCACCACTACGACCGGCGCTATGATGGTGAAAGGGATCGCGAACGGGACCGCGACCGGGATCGCGGTCGTGGCCGGTTTTCCGACAGAGCGGGTCGTTCTCGGAGTCGATCGCCCCATGCATCACAACGATTGGGTAGGTCGGATAACAGAAGTTTTGCACAAGAGCGCCGGAATTACGATCGTGACTCGACCGAGACTTTGCACTATGGCGATGACCGACGTTCTCGAGCTGACAGAGAGCTGCCTCAGCGGGTTGCAGTAAAGGAGCACTCACCTGCCTATAACAGTGTCGTTGAAGAGCGCACGAAGCCGCCAAAGGGTATTATAAAACCCAGCAGCACGTTTGCCGAGCCTGATGACTACGAAGAGCCGGAACCGATAGACGAGGACGCTGAAATCGAGCGTCGCCGGCGGCGTCGAGAGGAACTGTTGGCGAAATCTAGCTCGGCCACTCCTCTTCTTCTACATGCTGTCGGTGCCTCTGCAGACAAGAACGCTCGAGGAGCCTCCCCTGCATCCTCACAGCCGGACACGCCGCAAATATCATCATTCGAGGGCGAAACCCCTCGTACACCTCGATCCGGTACGTGCCTAATTAGAACGAATTTCTGGCCGCCAAATACTAACTCATCAGACTTCGCATCCCCTCATTCGCCCGAGCTATCACCTGATGGAATCAATTTACTCAGCGACAAGGACCTCATGAACACTCACAGCAATGCGAAGGCGGATGACCAGGATGGACCTTCAGCAGCCGATTACGACCCGACAGCTGACATGAAAGAAGACGAGCGTCGAGACGAGCTCAGACATGGTCACACAGTCCTACACGGTGAGAGCGTAACTGAAACAATTGAAACGAAAAATGACAACGCCAAGGATGATGCCGCCAGCTCATTGGAAAATGCCGAAGACGATGACTTTGACATGTTTGCTGACGACATTGACGTTGACAACTATGCCAGCAAGCAGACCAAGGCCGCTGCTGCCACGGCTGGTGCAGATGGCCCAGCCCAAGCATCGCAAGCCGACGACAAAGGTGGTATTCTGGAAGGCGACGATAAAGACGGATATTACAAGATAAGAATCGGTGAGATTCTTGATGGTCGATATCAAATCCAGGCAACTCTCGGCAGAGGCATGTTTTCTGGTGTTGCTCGCGCAGTTGACGTCACAACCAAACAGGTCGTCGCTATCAAGATGATGAGAAATAATGATGCGCTACGAAAGGGCGGATACACCGAGATTGCCATCTTGCAGAAACTTAATGATGCAGACCCAGAGAAACGAAAACACATTGTCAAGTTCGAGCGGCACTTTGACTACCGCGGGCACTTGTGTATGGCATTCGAGAACCTGAGTATGAATCTGCGTGAGGTTCTGCGCAAGTTTGGCAACAATGTTGGCATCAACCTGGGGGCGACAAGAACTTACGCCTATCAAATATTCGTTGCTCTGGCCCATATGCGAAAATGCAGCATCATCCATGCCGATATCAAACCAGACAACATTCTAGTCAACGAACAGCGCAATGTCCTCAAAATCTGTGACTTGGGCACTGCAATTGATAAGTCTGATGCCGCGACAGCACACAATCAACTCACGCCGTACCTGGTCAGCCGGTTTTATCGGGCGCCAGAGATTATCCTAGGCATGCCCTACGATTACGGAGTTGACATGTGGTCTATCGGATGTACTCTGTATGAGATGTATACGGGCAAAATCTTATTCACGGGCGACAGCAATAATCAGATGCTCAAGGCCATCATGGAGATACGCGGCCGCTTCACACCAAAGCTGTTTCGTCGGGGGCAGCTTGCGGCGGCACATTTCGATGAGCAGGGTCAGTTTGTGAGTGTCGAACGTGACAAGGTCTTGGGAAAGGTATGTTTTTCACAGATTCCTACTGTTTACGCCCGCGTCTTCTCTTTCCTCGTTTCATCGATCGGTTCTGGCATGTAGTCGGGAACACATTTACACCCACACATCACACAATATCTTACTCCTTGATTCTTCCCCTTTTCGTGCCCCCATCTAGTGGAGAGGGATTGGTTGGCAACAGTCGCCCTGTGTAAGCGCCAGAATCCTTTCTAGATGCACTGCGTCGCAAGGCAAGCACAGCTCGGATTGGTGCATACTAGCAACGGTTCAAGCCGTCCCTTGGGATGTGGTTTGACTTTGTCAGTGCCAGACAGGATGACACTCTGTCGGGCGGGTAACAGAGCGCCAGCCTCACGGTCGCATATTGGGCTGCAGACCCGGCAGAATGCACTTGTCCATGACTAAATAGTCTCCGCGACTGGGGTGGTTTGTTTTACATATTGATGACGGGAATGCTGACATGTGCACTTTGCAGACGGCGGTCAGAACATTGGCCGTGGTGAAGCCAACGCGAGATTTGCGAACCCGGCTCAACGCTGCATCGACAGGGATGAACGATGCCGAAGCCAGGCATCTCAACCACTTCATCGACTTGCTGGAGCAATGCCTCGCGCTGAACCCAGACAAGAGAATATCTCCAAGTGAGGCGCTGAAGCATCCCTTCTTCGCGTCCAAGACGGCGGCAAGCAACGGAAGGCGGTAAGATTACGGGTGATTTTGTCGCTGGCGGCGTTTCGGTGTGGCAATGCAAGGATGTAAATTAAGAGGCTTCACAAGAAGCGCATACCGACGGGAGGGCAGCGTGTCAGAGGAGGAGGAGGAGGAGGAGGGACGAGGCAGTTCGAGGGCAAACAGCATAGAAGTTTCTTTGTAGGCGACGGCGCAAGAGTCTTGGGGGTAACCGTCACAAGATGGTGATCAAGACGCAGCCACGACCGGAATAGGTTATCAGCGTTGTACAAGACAAAGAGCCATGTTGCACGGCATGAGCAGTGGCCCTGGTCTTGTCCAATGAGTGTTGATTGTGCACGAGTGCTTGTGATGATATGTATGCACGTACAGAGGACGGAGTACATTACCGGCTTTTTTTTTTTTTAATTTTTTTAAATAATGAGGCCATTCTGTCGCACAAACCTCCCACCCCTACCTCTCTCCCCTTGATGCTTGATGCTTGATACTTGATGCTTGGTGCTTGGTGCCACCCCGCACTGTTTTATGCGGTCTCTGTGCCAGGTGCGCCCAAAAGCGTCGAAACACATGGCCCTTTGTACGGGGCACGCAACGCGGCGCAGCCACGTCGTCGGACGTGAATTGTTTCTTGCGAGGGGGGGGGAGGACGCGAATCAGTTTGACCCTCTGTGCGGGCGCACAACACGTCGCAGCGGCCGGGCTTTAATCTATTGCCCTTTGCGCTTTGTTTCGAAAGCACATCTCGTGATGGGTGCTGACTCGCGCCGCATCCCTTCCTGTTGCTGGAACTACCCTACACTTGTTTGTATAAGTCGAGTCACTACTATACGGCGCTATGCAGAAACGAAATGTCGTGATTTTAATATTTGATCCTGGCGGTATGCTTCAGTGATGATTGGGCGGGTAGGAAGAGTGGGCCACACCGGTTTAGCATTTTTTTTTTATATTGATCATGCAAGTTTCCTTTTTTTTAATCTTTTAAAAGGGCCTGTTTTGCTCGAGGTCAAGATCGTGGGCATGAATATTCTACTTGGCAGGGAGGGTTGGGTGATGTGCATGAATGTGGAGGCGAGTGGGCGGACAGTGAGGCTGATGGAGTGGTTTCGGTAGGCGCCGCGGAATGATTTGACTTTTGGATGGGCGATGTGCAGCTGGAAAAGCCAAAGCCTGGTTTGGGGCGAATTGACATCTGGATGCTTTGCTTGTGGTGGTGGTGAGTCGCCAGCCGTCCTGTGACGATGGGGTGGCAGATGGATAACCGGCCTCCGCGCTAAAGCAGGTTTCTGGTCTTGTTCAGATTGGGACGCCCGGCTGTGTTGTACACGCTGGGAGGAGCTGATCGGCAGATGTAGAGGGTGGTGCGACGTTTTTGACACTGTTGGCTGCTGCGCGGATGGATGACGACAATGATGTCAGGCCAGGGAGGTGGGAAGCAACTATTCGCAAGTCACCGACTGTCTGGCTTGTGTGTGTTGAAACGGCCCTTGTGCACCATGCAATCGGGTTGATCGAGATGATGGTTCGATGACCATCTCTTGAGGGGCACGGCATCAAGTCGAGTATCGAGTTGAGATTCTTCCCCCCCCGATGTGGTCTGATCTTCACCCGTTGTGGCCAGTTGCCGTCCTTTTCTAGACCTCTTCCCCGATCAAAACGCCTCCGGTTCGATGCAGAGGATCGAGATACGGCCTAGTTGGTGGAAAGAGTTGACTCCATGTCCGCATCGTGGAGGGCAACTTTGTCCAGTCCCAATGGGTGTGCGCCACCGGCTGACCACCGACGACGTTTGCCACGCACACGGCAGCCTTTCCAACAAGGCGCGCTGCTTAGCTAAACTCTCTGGTGTGGTTGGATCTGGAGGCGTCGATGCTAAGCATTTCTAGCGGCAGCGGATTCGACCCTGCCCATGTTCCATTGTTCAGAGATGCACGGCCCTTTCGACCTGAAATGTCTGGTTGATGTCATGGCTCAACCGCCATAGTTTGGGGCGGGATCGGCTACCTCTCTTGTTTGCTGGGAACCGGGGTTGTCCCACATGACGATATTTTCGAGGCACGGACATTGGTGGTCCATTGGGGGCCAGTTGGTTCCTCTGACACGAGGAAATTGCATAGTAGTATGACGGTTTGGGGGGGGGGGTCGATGAGTCAAAACTGCTGGGGCCATTCTTCATCCTTTAGGATTTCTCTTCCGTCTTTTTGGGCCAGATATGTTCCCGCTCGGACTCGTGTGTCGCCGTCAACAAAGGGAAAACAAGAAAAAAAAAACTTAAACAAAGGACGCATCTTGAATGGTCGAGTGGCCGCTACAATCGTGTCATGGGCCATAAACTCGGCCCCTTCAATAGTTCGCGGGCAAACATCACGCACAGGGCCTCGAGTGGCTCGAGCCCCCCAATGTAAGTTGCCGGCTATCGCTTTTACCAGCATTTGTTGCCTACGGGGGGCCACCTTGTAATGTAAAAACTCTTGGAAATTATCTGGAAGCGCCCGTCTGTGAGGCCCTTTGACCGGGGGCGGCCGGGGGGGTCGCAGAGTTGGCCGCATGACGGGAAAGTGTCTGGTCCCCGACAAAAACCACATGTACACATGTATTTCCCATCCTGGCCGGCCACGAAACGTGCCCTTTGAGCCGGTTTGGCGTCTCTGGCGTGGCGGAGCTTCCCTTCCCATTCCCATGCGAAACAAAGCTGTCTTGGGCTATTCTTGGTATCAGCCCAGTTGCCGGCGACAAGGGCAGCAGTGTCCTTTTTGCCTCCTTGTATGTCGTTGTACTACTGCTAGTGCCCAGTCCCCGGAATGGAGGGAAGATACCAGATGAAGTCAATGCGCTCTCATTGTCGTCGGCAGTTAAAGCCCAGTCCGCCATGGAGACTCCTTTTAGCCAGGGTTGGAAGGCCAAATTCTGCGCCTGAGCCCGCCGCCGTACATACGTAGGCCGATTTGTTGCGTCCCAGGGCCACTCGCCCCCGTCCATCGTTCGTGCCATAGGGACAGGGTTTGTCGAGATAACAATGTGGGAAAAGATATGCGTGAAATGCCAAGCTTGTAGCGGCGTGCAGCAACCCACGCGACGCTTGAATCGATAACAGCCATAAAACTACCCCGTACAGCGGCCCAGGTTTTTCATTTCCAGCGGCATTTTCAGCAGAGTCGGTAACTGACCGGCCGCCCATGCCCTGGTTGCCTTTTGTCTGGGCATGGTGTCTCGAAGAGGTGGAACCAATGCAAGGGATATATGGAGTACAATGTTCAAATAAACGAATCATGGATCCAGACACGTGCGAAAAAGTACAGCTTTGTACATTTAAAAAAGCAACGACGAATCAGCAGTGGACAGATTCATCCTTGCTGTCCAATCACGCGCTCTGGCGTCATGGATTTGTTGGTTTCATACAGACAGCGCCAAGTCTGTTTATTCTCCGCACACATGAGATTGAGACTCGAGCCAGCGCTTAATGCAAGGGGCGATGGAATGAAGTTTGACTTGGACACGGCTTGTTTTGTGAGAGTCATGCCACACGCCCTGTGCAACATAGCCCTCCGCCCCTGGTCCTGGGGAGCTGAGCGCTTAATTCTTTCTTTGAGTACTCCGTACTCCCTAGAACATGTCTGGGGAGCGCTATCTGGCGATGCTAGTGCTGCCGGTTCTTGCTGGCCAGGTCTGGTTGAATGCGCCCGACTCCTCCATGTGTTGTCCGGGGTCAGGCCCAAGAGCCCTGGCCCCGAATCAGCGCATGGCAAATGATAGGGAGTTCGCGGAACCATGGTAATGAAATACATAGTCGTTGACTCTCTAGCGGCACTCACAAGATGTAGCAAGCCACTGCCGAGTTGACGTGCTGTCTGTTCGCCGTAAGCGGTGCTGCGCTACCAACATCCAACTCCCGGGCATGATTGAAATTGAATCCAACTGCGCATTGACGATTGCTCTTCCCGAAATATTGAATATCTCGTGGCCCGAGCTTTTTTTCTTCTTTCTTTTACCAAAGTTCCGGGCCCAGACTCTCTCCGTAACTTCACAGCCCAGGTCCCCGGCAGCGACCAACGCACCCCGAATATTTGCTGTGCAGGCTCATCATTCGGTAGCTGTGATGATTAGATTACACTCACTCTCTGCCCCCTTTTTGATGAGACATTCATCAGACCATCTTGGGACCAATCCTTCCTCATCACGCGGCAATTGCGGAATGCGCCGTGGTGGTGATGGAGGATGATGATGCTGCAGGGGGGATTGATGACGCTGTTTATGACGTTGAGCCACCGGACCTTGTAGAAATTGCGCAGCCTCGCCCTGCCTGCTTGCTAGCAGCCGGACCGCCCTGTCACATCTTGGGAATGTTTCGAGATGATCAGATCTCTAAACGGACCCTTGTGCGGGTCTTTTGCATCCAATGCAGCCGCCCCAAAAGAAAAGACATGACACACAAAACTTGCATAACTCGCCGTGTTTTTTGATTGATCGCCGCCTTCTTTTTGTCTTTTTGTCTTCTTTTTCTTTCTGCCGTGAACCCAGCGAGACCCGGTGTGCAGTACCAACCTCCCTGCGTGCCACATGTGACATGTGTGCCTTGCGAGGAAGCCTTGACCTCGTTTCTCCTCGCAGGTCAGCCGCTTAGCCAGCATACAGGCTGGGGCGAGGGTCGTGTACGCCTGTACTTTCCAGTTTGATGTAACAGCCATAGTTGGGCTTGTCTCAGACCCTGAATCTATCGCAGCTTGGTTCCGGCCTCCCTCGACAACACAAGGACTGGGCTGTTGCGTTGATTGATACGCTTACGGAGTAGACGGCTGGCCGGGCTGACGGAACCTGCGTGTGTGTTTCCCTGGTCGCAGGGGTCCAACTGTAACTCCGTACGCCTTGTCTATTCTAAGTAAATGTTTTGTAGACTGTTGATGGGGCCTTGCGACACGCGGCGTTGCAATGTAGCGCCTTGTACGAGATGCCGTATGTAGATTCAGGGAGCATTTCGGCTTCCGAAGTCCGGGCCTAGGTCTCCCTTGCGAAACGCTT